GTCCCACCGGGGCACGTGTGACATCGGTTGTTGCCTTTAGTGCTGGTGCAGCAGGTATTCCCAGGCCATGCAGTGACATTTTAGGGAGGTCATCCATGTGCCATGCTGTTCTTTGTGTTTGTGCTCTGCTTCCCCCACCAGTCCTGCCGTATTTATTAAGGTAGTAGCTGCCTGTGTGGCAGCCACAGCTAGTCCGGGCACAGCAGCCTCCTGCATGTTTCTGGGTCGAGCATCGCCTGGTTCTCAGGCTGCCAGGATCCATCTCTGCCTGCAGGCGGGGAAGTGCAGAGAAGCCCGGTTTGTTCTCCACTGGCAGCGGCTGCTGCTTGGGTTTTGTTGGTGTTTAGTTAAGGAAGGTTCCAGGGGCTGCACCGCATGGTCGGGACTGCTCAGACACACTTTTAAGAGAACAAAAGTGAAGTCAAGTCAGCCCTGGCTAAGCCATTTCCCTGGCTGCGCAGTGCTGCTCTTAAAGCTGCCAAACTCCTGAAACGTCTCATGAGACGGCCTGTGTTCATGCTGAACATCCTGTCAGTGTTTAGCTGCGTTGCCATAAGAAATAGCTTAATGCTTTGATGTTGTCACACCCAGAACGGAGCAGGAAAACTCAGAAATGCCAGGAAAAGCCGAGTCGGGTCCCAGAATAACCATGATGTTCGGCACTGTTCAGCAGGTAGAGGGCCAGCCGGGAGGGCTCGCTGGGGCTGTTTTAAATGTTGGAAGCAGACAAGAGCCGAAATTAACTTTCAAACAACCCAGTGGGGGAAATTGTTAATTTCCTTTTAAAAGTCTCTAATGATTTCAAGTCTGGCAGCTAACCTAAAGAGAAAAGGTCATCTATTATTATTAACGTTATTATTACCTTTCGGATCAGTGCTGGCTTATGTATTAATAGCTTAAAAGTTCCTGGTGACCCACCCTGTGTTGGTGCCTGAGCACGGACATCTAGCTGCACATTTTCGGAGCTCAAGTGGGCACTTCCCCGCGTGTGATCTGGTGGGTCTGAGCGTTTGCATTTGCGGGATGCTCAGAGAGGGTAGGAGGCAGCACTGTGGCCTCTCTGCCATCATGGGGCCTTGTGAGCTGCTGAAGGAGTCAGCAGAGCGAGGGCTGTGTGCTCATGAGGGTGCCCGATGGCCCTGGGACACCTCAGGCCTCTGAGGAATGTCCTTATCCTAGGTCTGGCCTCATAGTTGGTGCAAAGATTTTTATTCAAGAGTATTATGCTTTCCAAAGCACTTCCACATACACTGCCACCATCTTGGTACCTCATGCCCTCCTCCCAGCTGGTGCAACTGTTGCATGGAGCAGATGTGGGCATTGGCATTCCCAGAATTAAGTCTCTGGACCAGCAAGGGCCCTGTGGGTGAGAGGCAGTGCTGGGGCGTGGACCTGGGCTTCCTAGGGCCTGGCCTTTTCAACATTCACTTATGTGAGTGGAAGAGAAAGCCCTTCGCCTGCCCCCTGAAAGTCACAAAAGCCAGCTCAGGACTGTGCTAGGCGTCTTTCCACCAACTCCACTTTTCTTGTGCCCTGGTGAGGAATTCAGCCCATTCTTCTACATGTGTGTCTATTTCCTCTAGTTTCAAATACAAGATCATTCCCTGCCCTCATCCTCTGTTCATATGCTGTCCCTGTGGAATAGGCTCACAACTGGGACACTATCCACAGGCATGGCAAGCACTTCACAGACCTTGGGAATGGACAACCAGGATCACGCAGTTGAATAAGTGAGCAAGAACACCCCACAATTTTCCAAACAGGTGTTCATCTTGTCCTACTAGATTTTAACACATACTCCAAAGCAGCAATTATATAAACCATTTGTATTGAGCTAACAACAGAGAAAACCATTAATAAAATAGACATGCAGAAATAGTAAAACTATTATTTGAAGTTACATGAGAAACTAACAAGAAAAAGAATAAGAAACATTATCAAATGTCATTGGAACTGTTGGATATCAGCACAGAGATTTAGATACATTATGATGCAAACAGATTCCAGACACGTTACAGTTAAGCATTGAAAACTCAACAGAATAAATATATCTATAGATACATATATTTAAAAGCATATTTATCCCAGCAATAAAAGGGAAATTATTGTATTTTGATTTTAAAGATACATGAAGATATATAACCAGAATTATGAATATGTTTAAATATTAAAGCAAAATTATTTATACCAAAATGTAATATAAAGAGAAATAAAGGCAATAAAAATATTTGAAAACAAGAACTGATAAACACTTAAATCCAAAATAGATCATTGATGCAATTCTTTGTCAGTTGATGGCTGGATTTAATTCAGTGTTTATAGATCACCTGCTCGTTGCTTGGGACTCAGCAGTGACCAGGCCAGGCCCTCACTCTGGCTGCCACATTGCTCACAGATTCCACCAGATAAGAAGTTGAGAGAAATGAACAGTTAATTTCCATGTAAGAAAACACAGACAGTAAACCGTCACACAGAAACAAATACAGCCTTATTGGCAATTACAGAAATTCAAATTAAAACAACTTGAAAGTACTGTCACACACCTATTAAACTAGCAAAAATAAATATGCACGCTGAGTAAGACACTTGGCAGGGCTGTAGAGCAACGGGCATACCAATGTCTTGCTGCTGGCACTGTAAATTGGTTCCATATATGCGGAAAGTAATGGCATCATGTGACGAAAGCTGTAAAACTCTTTTCGGCCAGTGTACTGTTCTGCATGTGGTATTTCCTTTCTGAAAGATACCTCTAGGACATAATTCAAAAGAAATAGTGATTGCCACAAAGATGACTAGAGCATTGGTATTTATGATAAGAAGGAATGGGGAAAGAAACCAACATGTGCAGTAGCAGGGAGAGACTGTTCTGTCCATGTTATCCCAGCAGGTGGACCCCAGCTAGCCAGGGAGAAGTGAGCCTACCTCCTCAGCACTCAGCACACTGCTGCTCCTGGACCCCAAGACACCCTGAAAATCCCCACACAGCAGCCTTAAAAAGGCCTTCCTTCATCTGTAGGCCTTGTCATTCCTCTTGCTCCCCCCCCCCTTATATCTCTCAGAGCTTCCTGTCTGATTTATTCATAACACATAGAAAAGTTTGGATTGTCTGGTGGTCTGAGTGACATCTTATTTAATGTCAGTTCCTCCACTTCACTAGGTACTTCCCAAAAGCAAGGACCTTGGCCACTTTTGCTCACTGTGTCTTTGCTTCTCAGTGTAGGGCCTGGAACAGGATTAATAGATGGTTGCATGGACGGCTAGTTGGATGGATGGATGGATGGATGTGGTTACATTGGTGGGTGGATGGGTGTGTGGATGGATGGGTGGATGGATAAATGAATGGGTGGGTGGATGGTTGGAAATTTTATATGCAAAAACCTCCCTTCCGTTTACATAGGACTTCATAGCTAAAAAAGTACTCTGCCAAACATTCTATTTTAATCTCTTACACCATTCTGTTGGGTAGAAGTTTTGTCTTTATTTAAAAATTGAGGAAACTGAGGATTCTCTCAAAAGTAAGTTAAGTAGCTTAGTTAACACATTGACTGCGACACTAGAAAAAAATTTTTTTCCTTGGGGTCATGGTGTTTTATTATAAAAATAGAATAAAAACTTTGAAAATGAAACAATCCTTTCTAATTTAATGGAAATTTTGTTACTTTTTATTTTCTGTTGCATGAGTTGTATGCAATTGAATTGTCAGCATTAATTGTAACAATAAGAATATCAACAAGTAAGATTTCCACAAGCCATATGCTTACATATGCTTCACAAGGCCCCAGACTCAAAACAAGCGTGAGTTAAATACAACTCATGTAGCAGTTAATGTGTTAACTGCAGATGTAGTATTTTTATTTCTTGCTTTTATTTCTCTCTTAAATTGCTATTGGCAAAATTCCTAAGTTGGAACTAGTGATGGGAGGTTTCTTGTAAGTTTCATATTTTTAAAATGAATTATTAAAATACTATGGGAGGAAGTACAATGTTGATTTTCTTTTTAAAAAAAATCTCTTTACCTATTTTTAAGAACTTTAGTGAAGAAAAAGTTGTGAATTTTACTAAACACACCTTTTGGCCTTCAGACGATTAGAAGAAGGATCACTGTGTTCCCTTTCTTTGACAGAAGGTGCTATGGTTTTCCCTAGTTTACCACCATGCTATTTTCTTTGTGTAGCCCCTACCTGGCCACAGAACTTAAATATTTGAGTTTAGTTGTTGTATTCTATTAAAGAATATTTTGTTGCAGTTTTTGTATCTGTGTACATTCACGTAAGTGGCCTGGAATGTTAATGGTCCTTGCAAAATAACTGGATTTGACTCATAAAATGAAGTGAGTCCCGTATTAAGGAACTATTTATATAACATAGGAACTATTTGTTATTTAAAAGTTTTGATTGAAAGCAATTTATATTGAATTAGGAGCCTTTTGGGGATGATTCTTCAGTTATTTTCCTTATTTGTTTGTTTCATAAATTATTTTTGTTTTTTTTCTTACCGTGTCACTTTGTGAATTTTTATTTTGGTAAGTAAATCTTACATTTCAACATAGTTATTTGGTTTGTGAGCTCTGGCTAAGGACAACATCTCCCATAATTTAAACGTTGCTTTTGTATTGGTGGTTTTATTGACATTTTCACTCCCAAGTTATTGCAGTATGTTTCCTTTTATTTTTAATGTAGTCAATTGATTATCAATTGTAGTATTTTTTCAAAGACTCATGAATTGGTTTTATTTATCAACTTTATTGTTTGTACTGCATTTTGATTTTTCTATTCTAGCCTAACTATTTTTACTTTCCTGCTTTCTTTTAGCCTTCCATTCTAAGTGGGTGAGAGCTAGTTTATTATCTTTCACTTTTTCTTTTTTGTGACGATGATCAGAGTTGTACGTTCTCTTTTCCATGACTTGTGATGCTTTCTTTGTTCTAAATACATATTCCGCTGTTGTATTGGTTTTTCTCTCCTACCCAAGCATCATTGAAAAGAGTATTTTTTTTTTTTGAAAATAAAATACAGGTCTTTATTTTACAATATATATAATTACATGATTTACTGAAATTAATTTAACACAATATACAAAGTATTAACAGCGGTTCTTAAGTTTGATAAGCACGTCAAACAGAGAAATGTTGAGATGGCAAAACTACACTGTTCAACTTTTGAATCTAGCTCAAATTCAATGAATCTAGCTCACTAGCTCAGGCTGAACATTCATCCTCCGAAGCACTTCTTCAGGCATGCAAAAAACAGGACTAACAGGTTTAATCTGTTCTTCTCCCAAAAGTGACAATCCAGCAATTCCAAATAATGTATGAAAAGGATCCACCATATCTCCTGGCCTGTCCACAAATCCACCCGTTTCTTCATCTTGACATGCTAAGATGAAACTACGCAACTTCTCTCTGTCAATCCAATGAAGCCTTCCAATTATCTTTAGGGAAGCCAATACCCACCATGAATAACATACATCTTGGTAACTTCTCTGGCCTTCCATTGAGTCCACCTGAGGGTAACTGTCGTTCACAAAGCCACCAACCAAGTAAATCACAATTTACTTGATGCAACTGACTGGTAATAGCCAGGAATCCTGTGCAACAATAGATCTGCCCAGCATGAGATTCAGAACCTGGTCTGCAACCAAATCCACCATCAAAGTTCATACAGGATAAAACAAATTCAATTGCCTTTTCCACATTAATGGCATCAAGCTTCCCCAATAGAGCCAAAGTTGCCACTGCACAGAAAGAGAATCTTGTATCAATTTCTCCCCAAATGTCTCCAGCAAAAGAATCATCTTCTTTCTGTAGACTCTGTACATATTCCACAACTTTGTTTACGTCAATAACATTAATACTATCATACAGAGTAAGAATCTGGACAGCACTGAGAGTGTATAAAAGATGAGGATCATGTCCAATACTAGCACTTATTCCACCACACTCATGTTGGCATGACTTAATAAATATCAAAATTTCTTCTCTATTCATGCGATGAAGTTGTCCCATGAGATCCATTACTGTCAGACCCCAATAGATACCACTCATTCTCAAATACTCAGACATGCAGTATTCATAATCATCTTTCTTTGAGCCAAAGGACGCAATATAATCTGCATGTTTCTCCAATAATAGGGTGTTGGGTGCATCTGACTTAATAATAACATCCTTCTGTGGCGTGCCCATGTCTACGAACGAAAGGAAAGAGTATGTTTTAACATCCAGACAATCGGACACCTTTAATCCTCCCTTTTATCATGATTCCCTCCTTTTCTTTGCCTTTGTCCAGGCATAAGCTACATAGGATAAGGGATAAGACATATAGGAAGCTTGCCTTTTTTATTTGCTTTCCTTCATATCTCAAAATTTAATCAATTTATATGGAAGAGTCACGTCTGTTTGAAAGCAGAATGTGTTCTCTTGCCATACCATTTGGTGGTCTCCCAATGTTATCATAGTGTGTAGCTTTACAACTCTTCTACTCATTCTTTGCATATTTGATCCATCATATTCTATTAATATTTTTTTACATTTTCATTCATGTTTCTTTTACCTGTTTTGCCCTATATTGGAACATAAAGATTTTGGCATAGTTGTATTTTGGGGTTGTGGTTGTTTGTCTTGTATTGCTATCGAGCTGCCTTGGTTCTCTCTCCTAACGCCTTTGAGTTGCTGGGCTGACTCTTCCACAGCGTACGGTAGCAAGGGAAGCAGACTGAGCACCGGGCATCCGAATTGCAATCCCAATCTCATACCTGCCTGAGGTTCTTTTTGTGCAAGTTGTTGCCCCCTTGATAAGGTTACCGTGAGAGTCCATTGAAAACATGATCACGAAAGCGCTTCGTGTGCACTGCAAGGAGTTGCCAGGAAGGTGTTAACCTCTGATCACAGCTCAACTTCCAGACTGTTCTCCTGCAGAGTCTGGGCTCGATTGGGCCCCGATAGCCACACATTGTTGTGTGTTGACTGTTTAATATACGACCAGAAGCATTATCTTGTAAGTTATTTTTGCACTTCCATTTCTCATTTATCTGGTTTCTATGGCAATGTTTCCTTTCTTTGTTTGTTTGGTATTATATTGGCAGCTAACCACTACTAAGTCTGATATTTACAATACCTTTAGCAGACATGCTTTTGTCAGAACTGATTTCATTTTATTCTCTCGTTCAGTCATTTAACTGAGTAAAACTTCTCAAGATTGGAAGGAAACTGTGCTCCCCTTTCTTTATCTCCCTTACTCACTCCCTGTAGTGTTTATTCTCAAGCCCTTTGTAAAATTCTCCTTTTACACCATACAATGCTAATGGGCTTTCCCATAATTTAATGGCTGATTTTTCTGTCATTTTCATTAGCTTTTAAAATTACAATTCTAATCTACTTATGTCAGCAGGCATTTTTTTTTTTTTTTTGGCTTTTCTTTCTTTTCCTTTTTAATCCGTGGGTCCTCTGTTGAAGGAATATTCCAGGTTCTCAGGTCTGGGCTGCTTCTGTCTTCACTTGACTCGTTACCGTCTGTATGCATTTCCTACAGCTGCCATGACAAAGTACCAGAAACGGAGTGGTTTGAAGCAAGAGAAATGTGGTCTCTCATAGCTCCGGAGGCTAGAAGTCCAAGATCAAGGTGTTGGCAGGGTTGGTTCCTTCTGGAGGGCCCTTCCTGGCCTCTGCCAGCTTGCGGTGGCTGCTGGCAACCTTGGCAATCTCGGCCTGGAGGTGCAGCCACGTGGCCCTTCCCATTGCACGTGTCTGCCTCTGTGTCCAAACTTCTCCTTTTTTATAAGGACACCAGTCACATTGGCTGAGGCCCCCCTAATAACTTCATTTTAACTTGATTATCTCTGTAAAGATATAATCTCTATTTTTAGTTAAGGTCCCATTCTGAGTCACAGGGGGTTGGGACTTTATATCTTTTTGGAGAGACTCCATCCTTGCAGCCATCACTCCATTGCCCTTGGCCTGGGTCCACCCACCAAGGGCCACCTTATGTGCCAGTCAAGGTACAGTGTTTTTCTTATCCTTGCATTTAAAATGTCCCCTCTCTTCGTGAGAGTCTGTCTCCACCAGAGTGCAGGGACCTGAGAAGCAGGTGTATAGAAGACATGCACTGAGGATTTCTGCTAGGGGAAAAATGAGGCACAGTCTGTTCTTGTTCTGCTGTTGCAGTTGCTGCACAGGCAGGCTGGGACGGAGCTGCTGTCTCCAGCGTTGCCGATTCTGTTGCAGAATCCCTGTCTCTCAGGACCCCTTCTGGAGGTCTGGGCTCCCAGAGAACATTTGCAGGCTTGAAGTTACCCCCAGCTTGGTGCGCAGACTGCTGTCTGCAGCTGTCATCTCTTCCCTTCTGCAGTCCTTGGCATCACTCAGGTGGCCGGGTTGAGCTGTCAGATGCTGTCACTGAGCATCTTTGTTTTTCTTTTGGCATGTTCTTCAGACCCTTGAGTGAGTCTGTTTGTTTTAGATTAGACCCCTTGATTTTGCAGCTTCTCTGGTTGTTTGGTTTTTCTTATTGTTCCTTTGCATAGCAGAATGTAGCTCTTGTCTTACTGGCTGATTCAACAAGAAGAAGCCACCATCCCAGGCATATTTGTCTAACTATTAAAAAAAAGATTTGGAGTTTATATGCCAAGAATTGATAAATTCTAGAATTTTCTAATGTATTTCCCCCCTATTTTAACATGTGTGTCTTAATTGAATAGACATCTGTTAACTGCCTTTTTTGTGTCAGTCTCTGCTGTCACTGATCTGTAGTCTGTCCCTCAAGGGATTTACAGTCTTCAGGAGGGATGATTCTTCCTCAATTAGCCATAAGTGAAGCTCCAACCAACTGACAGGAACAAGGAGTTGGGAACCCAGGAAGAAGAACTTTGAATCCGCATTGTGGGGCGGGTAGAGACCTAGCAAGGACTAACATTAGAGCTTCAGTCTGGCCAGGCTGCTCTCAACCCCGCAAAATCAAAGCGAGACACACCTGTGTACATGTCACGTGAGCCGAGAATCCTTTTCTGTGTCTGCACTGGGCCAGGTTGCCAGCCTGCGTCTGCTGAGGTTCCAAGCCAGGCTAAAGGCACTGTAGACTCCAGCTCTTCATTTAACAGTTTTTCTCTTCAGCCATAAAGTTGCACTGACATAAAAGCATAAGAGATGTCATTGTGCCCTGGTGCCTCTTTCACTGTGACATTTTATGGCTAGTGTCACCAAGAAGCATGTGTAAAAGTGCTGATTGCCCTCCTGGACTGCAGCCTCCACCACCGGTCAAGGAGACCTTTCTTGCACTTCACGCTCTGTGATGAACCAGTCGCCCTTAAATACATCTAATCCTTCTTGAAACAAGCCAGGCCACTACCACTGCCTGGGAAAACAAGTTTCTGAAATCATTACACTGTGCCTTCTGGGGAAAGTGGTGCTTCTTTTTATTTGGCCTGAAATTTAAAGGGATCCTGCTCGAAGACAAACATTCTTCGAGCACATTCTCCATCTGTCCGCGCCGGGGTGGGCGTGCCTAACCACCGCTCTGTTGAATTGGGGGAGTCTCCGCAGCCAGCTGTCTTTGATTGTGCAGCTCAGTCTTCATGGACCGGATTATACAATCACTGGCTTCGCTCCCTCAGAACCTTGTTTATTGCAATTCTGCCTGGGCTAAACACAACTGAGTAATGAGGACTTCAGGGCTTGCTAGGCTCAGTTTCCATGTCAAATGTATGGACATCTTAACCGGTGTGTTCTTTCTCCTTTCTCTCTGCCCTTTTTTGAACACCTGGACACCCTGTAATCTCTATGTACCAAAAAGAAAATTACTTCTGTTAATCAAAATTTTCAAACCAACCCAAGACCAGGTAGAAACCTTGGATGGTTTTCAACCTCCATCTAGCCCAGAAATATTTCACAAGCAAGTCTGTATTCTAAGTGCGTTGTCATGTTTCCGGACTTCTGCTTTTTACCACTTCTCTCTGGGCTTCGGTTTATCAGACGTCAGTCCTGCAGAAACTCAGTGGGGGTTAGACCTAGAAAAGCTCTAGGAAGTGGCAGCATCTGCTTCCTCCTCTTCCTCATGTCTAGGGAAGGCAGTGGGACACACAGCCATTCATTTCTTGTTGGTAATTTTCTCCCGATAGAGCAATCCCCCCCAGAAGAAGCACAGGAGGTTTCGTTCTTGGTTGAGCGGTCACTATCAAAGGCTCATTTCTGTCCATGAAGATCAAGAAACCTTTGTGTTAGGGCAGACAGATGGGTACACACAAACACACGGGCACACACACATACACACACACACACACACACACACACACACGCACGCAGCTCTTCCCTCTGAACCATAAACTCCCTGAGTGTTGGTTCCATCTGCAGCACCTGCGTCTTCACATCACCCCATGCCTGACTGGACGGTTTACAAATAACAACACCCAAGGAAACATTGCTGAATGGTCAAGCACAAGTTAAACAAGATGGCATCCCTGGTATATTATGGTAACATGCTCGGACCCAGGGCTTTCAGGAGTAATAGGACTTAGATGGGAGGGAGGGGGTGATGAATTCCAGCAGAGAAGACATGGAGCAGGGTGCAGAGGTGAGAGGGAGAGTGTTTCCCCTTCATCATGGTTTCAGGACATAGTGCAGAGACCTGTCCCATCTGCAGAATCTCAGGTCCATTGCTGGCCTCACCACACCACCATCCAGAGGAGGCCAGCTCTCAGGGCTGTTAGCTCCAGGCCTAGCTCACTTCATATTTTCCACATTTCCTCCTGTATCGGCCCTTTCTGTCACCATAACAACCCACAATCCAGGGAGAGCCCCTGCAGCTGCTGTGATACATGGGCCAGTCACTTACCAAGGAGGCCACGCCTCTTGGCCCCCAGAGCCTTCCTACAAATGTCAGTGCTGGGCCCACTTTTTGAGCCCTGTGGTTCATTTGTGAACAGGCAGTTTCTTTGCTTTGATGGCAGTTTCTCCTTAGCCTTGAATGCCCTGCTCTGGGAATGTGCCCCACCTCCATTTTTTTTACCTAGAACAAATTACTCCCTCAAACCACGTGCCAGCAACATTGCGGAGGGTGTCTCTATGGATCGGCCATGGCTCTGGGTGGGTGGGAGAGGTGGTGGAGGAGTCAGGGAGACATAAAGTTGGGAAGGGGGTTTAGGGTGGATTGGAGAGGTGTGGGGCTGCAGCAGAAGGAATTTGGATGCTCTGCAGAAGGCTGAGTGGGAGTGGGAGAGGCCGAAGGGTTTTGAGCAGACCTCAGTATTTTAGGATGATTGATCAGGTGAGAGGTGTTGCAGAATTGACAGGTGGCAGGTCTCAGTGGCTTGATTCTCTTCAGTGAACAAATATTTACTTAGTGTCTGCTGCGCAGTGGGCGTGGTGGTGAGATGGTGAGCCACAGAGGCAGCCAGGTAGGGCCCTGCACTGGGGTCAGAGGGCTGTGGTCCAGGCTCTGGTTGGTCATGCTGCTGGTGGCAGCAGGGGAGATAACCGTTGGGCTGGGTCAGTGCCACACAGAATCAGTAGGGAGGTTAATATTAATATAAAGGGACTTGTGCTGGACAGAGCCTAAGAAACTGCCCACCTCCCCTGCGACTTGCCCAGGACCCTCACGGAGTTAGTTAAGCAGCCAGAGGCCGAGCCCCACTCCTTATGCAGTTCAGGGCTGCAGCTCCAGCTCAGAGGACATGGAGGAGGTGTCAGGGAGGAGGTTGCCATTGTAGGGACAGCAACATCTGAGCCGATCCCAAGCATGCCTAGTTCATTTGTACCACAATTGGTTATCACAGTAACAATCTCTTTTCTGTTGTTTTATTTTTGAAGGTGCTGCAGAGTTTTATTTATATGACTTTCAATAGATGCCTAATATTTGCCATCAAAGTCAAAACCAAAACCAGCTTCCTTTCACCTTACATTTGGCTGCTGTTTCAGTTTGGGTCCAAATCATTGGATATCAAATGACCATAGTGGCCACACAGGGTAAGGGGACAGAGTTGGATTGTAACCTGGACACATTGGCTTTGTGTTCCAGCTGCCTGGCCCTATGGGTCTATGGAATCCATGAGTCCACAGATCCCCAAGACCTGGTTGTGTCTCTGTGAGTCTAGGAAGGAGGGGCGGCCAGGCCTCCTTTGACTTGGCATTGTGAAGGCTGCATGCCGACCTCCCTCAGTCTGTTGCTGGGCCGACTGTCATGCTCACCCTAAGCATCCCCATGGGAGGCCACCAGTCCTTTGGCAGGACCACCAGCCAGAAAAGAATCCTGGGTCCAGAAGTGACCGAGACATCATCTTGTTCAAACCACTTGTTTAACATATTAAAAGCAGCAATAGCAACATGAAGAGTGATGTAATTATGAATTATGGAAAGATTAGGAAAAAACCCATGTGGCTGGGTTTGAATTGGAAGCATCA